TGCAGTGACTTTTTTGTTTTTTTTTTCAGAATCCGTAGCGCCGGTGCATGTGTTTGGTTGCTCCCCAAGCCCAGAATTGGGAGAAAGCTCCAGGCGACATCTACGGATGCAAAATCATTTAGAATCCGATCACCTGTTGAATCCGACTCTCCACATTGCAGAGAAGGCTTCCCCGGGGCGTGCGCTTGTCGAGCTCGCCCCGGCGGCAGCCCAAAAGTCGCCCGAGAAACCTTTTGCTCTCTCGTTTGTCGGGCGTTAAAAAGCTCCTCCAAGAATGAGTGACTTTTGGGTTTGGGATCTTCCGCGGCCGCTTGAAAAGGGACGACGGGGTCGCCTTTCCATGTTGACGCTGCTGCGCGCGCCCGCGTCGGGCTTCGGCAGGCCGAGGAGATGATCGACGAGATCCGAGCCGCCTTCAAACGAACGCTGGACCGACTCGCCTGGATGGACGACGACACCAAACGAGCCGCAAAAGAAAAGGTCGCCCGCGCCCGCACGCACGCACGCACACACGCGGAGCCGGCGTGCTGACGTATGCGCTGTGGACGCTGTCGTTAGGCAGATTCCATCTACGACATGATCGGTTTCCCCGAATTCATCATGGACACCAAGGAACTGGACGACGTTTACGACGGGGTGAGCTCGTCCGTCACGCCGAGCGCCGGGCGGTCGCCGGCCGACTCTTCTGGTGGGCTTTGACCGAGTTTGGCGTCCGCGTGTGTTTTTCAGTACGACGTTACCGAAGAAAGCTTCTTCCAGAACACGTTGAACTTCTACAACTTCTCGTCGAGAGTCATGGCCGACCAACTCAGGAAAACGCCCAACAAAGACCAGTCAGAAGACACCGCCGCACACCGCGCTCGTCCCGCGCCAGATCACGAATCGCAGAGTTTTACATCGGACGTTCCGCTCCAATGCGGATCATTGGCGACGTGACGGCATTTGGCTGGAATGACTTTTTCGCACTTGCTGCGGCAATTAGCGGCAGAATGTCCCGAGTTGGCGATCATTTCTCACTCAATCCGAGAAGGACAACTGGCCGCAAGTCTCCAGCCAAATGAAAACCGGACCCGCTCGTAATCTTCCACCCGAAGGTTTCTTCGGGTTGGCTGCGGCTGAGGGGGGCGCGTCCCAAAGCCCAAAAAAGGCTTGAAATGGATCACGTTCTTCTTTTGAATCAGAACGCTGCCCGACACACGCGCACACGCGCACGCCGACTGGACTTTGATCACCCTCCAGTCAGGTTGGAAAACGCCACGGCACCGGTGTGTTGTGTCGTTGCAGGTGGAGCATGACTCCGCCCACGGTCAACGCCTACTACATGCCCACCAAGAACGGAATCGTTTTCCCCGCCGGAATCCTTCAGGCTCCTTTCTACGCCGGCGACCATCCCAAGTCAGTTGCCGGCTTTTCCCACGCTTTGTCGTCGCACCGTCGCGTCCGGTCGGTCGTGGCGTTTGCTCTCTGGTCGATTGTCGAAGACAATTCAACCTGTTAGCGCCCAAAAGCGGTGGACGGACGCGTCCTGCTGATGTCTCGGGTGCGGGCGCAGCTGCCGAATGAGCCTTTCGCGACCGATCCCTCATGGATACGGTGGCAAAACGGCTCAACGGCGCGATGGCCGCTTGACGCGTACTCCACACAACAACTCGAGAACTCAGCTGAGATCGTTTCCATCGATTCCCGCGCCGCGGCCCGCCGGTCGACCGGTTAGCGCGTCGGCCTGACAGCGCAGAGGTGCGGGGTTCCGTTCCGGCTCCGGCCTCCCCGTGTGGAGTTTGCATGTTCTCCCCGGGCCCGCGTGGCTTTTCTCCGGGTACTCCGCTTTCCTCCCACGTTCCAAAAACAGGCTGGTTGAACACTCGAAATTGTCCACGGGGTGTGATTGTGAGAACAAATGATTGTTGGTCTGGCAAGCGGTTCGGGGCGTCGCCCGCCTACTGCCCCAAGCCGGCCGGGAGAGGCTCCGGCACGCCCCGCGACCCTTGTGAGGATTAAAGCGGTTCACAAAATGGACGGACGGATGTCAAGAACCGTCGCCATGGACCAGGGCACTGGCACGGGAGGGGTAGAGGGAGCCCGCCAGCGAGGCAAAGGCCGGGGCCCGTCGGCTCGTCTGACTGAGCGTGCGCTCAGTCGCGCGGGGGGCCGGCGGCTCGAGCCTTGCCGCCAGAGAGAGGTCCTTCAAAAGCCGGCGGCCCTTCGGGAGCCGTCGGCGGCCGTGCCAAAAACCCGGCTGACGACAAGTGACCCCGCCCGCTCGAGACGGGCAAGATTTGTAAGGTTTTGCGGAGAAGACGTCTTGGGTGACCGAGCGGACCGGCCGACAAGATGCCACTTCGGCGGCTCGGCTCTGTCGTGGAGTCGTCATCCGGCCGGTGTCTTTGTTCCAAAGGGCGCTGAACTTCGGCGGCATCGGAGTGGTGATGGGTCACGAGCTGACGCACGCCTTCGACGACCAAGGTGAGCCGGACACGATTCGGGCCGCCGTCGGCCGAGCGGCGCTAACGTCGGCCGCGCGTGCTCGCAGGGCGCGAGTACGACAAGGAGGGCAACCTGAAGCCGTGGTGGCGCAACTCGTCGGTGGACGCCTTCCGCCGCAGGACCGAGTGCATGGTGGAGCAGTACAACGGCTACGCCATCAACTCGGAGCGCGTCAACGGGAAGCAGACGCTGGGGGAAAACATCGCCGACAACGGGGGCCTCAAGGCCGCGTACGACGTGAGTCCAAATGCACTCACGCGCTCAAGAAATGCCGTTCGACGCACCTGCCGTGATCCCTCCCTCGCTAATGAGAACAGGTTCACCATTTGTTGCGGAGGTCCGGTCGGAGCTCATTCTTCACGTCGTTCGGTCGGAGCGAGCCGCCGTGTCGTGTTTTTTTTTTTCTTAGCTAGACGAAGGTTGAGGCCGGTCGTAGACGGCACCGCCGTCCTCTGTTTGAATTGGAGCAAGAAACGCTCCCTGTTGTTTGGGACGCAACGGTCGTTTCATCTCCCCTTTCCTCCTTTGCTGCGGCGAAGCATCAAAATAACCTTGATCAGATTTGATGCTTCACTTTCAAAATTCGCCTTTCCTAAAAGTGGGACCGGAACGTAGAAACGGGTCAGATGGGTGTCGCCGAAAGCTCCGCGCCGTCAACGTCCCCGCAAAACACGTTTGTTGCGGCCGCCGCCGCCGCCGCTCTTGTGTTCAGGCGTATCAGACGTGGGTCGGCAAGAACGGCGAGGAGAAGAGACTTCCTGCCGTCAACCTGACCAACGAGCAGCTCTTCTTCGTCGGTTTTGCGCAGGTGAGAATCGAGGCGACGAGCAAGCGGCGGCACCGCTCGGAGTTTCCCAAATGCGCGCGCTGCGTTTTGCAGGTGTGGTGCTCCGTCCGGACCCCGGAGAGCGATCACGAGGGTTTGGTGACCGACCCCCACAGTCCGCCTCGCTACCGCGTCATCGGCACGCTCAGCAACTCGGCCGAATTCAGCCGGCATTTCCGGTGCCCCGTCGGAACCCCCATGAACACCGGCAGGCGCTGCGAGGTCTGGTAGAGCGGGACGGCGGACGCCGCCGCTCCCTCCGACTCGGGGGCCGCCCGCGTCCCATCCTCGAGGCTCCCCGTCGGCCCCGCTTCGCACGCCTCCCTCCTCCGGCGCGCCCCGTTCAAATGTTCCGCATCGCGATCGGGCTCTGAGAAGACGGTTCGCCGAGAAGCCCGATCGCGATCCCGATCGCTTGATTCGAGGGAGCCGTCCGGCGCGGGCTTCTTCTTCGCTTCCCGGATGGCATCGAGATGGACGCCGCTGACTCGGCCCGGTCGGACCGAGGTTGAAGATCGCGCCTTGGGGTGGAATCGGATGACATCGGCGTTTTGACGGCGATGAAGAAAATACTCAGCCCACACCGCGCCGGCGCTCTCACTTCCGGTCAGTCGGCTCACTTCCTGCGGCCGGGAAGCCGTTGTCGTTTTCTTGTTGTCGTCGTGGTAACCAACGGCTCAACGCATCCCGTTGACGCCCCTTCACCGTGACGTCCATCCCCGTGGCCCAAAAATTCGGCTCCGCGACTGCTCGTACGCAACACCTTGAAAGTGGCTTTGAATGTGTGAACTTTCCATCCAAAACAAAACGGTGGCTGAAATAAAATGCTTGCAAGGAACTGAAAATCTCACGACATTTGAAGAGAAACCCTGATTCAAACAAGGAGGTGTGCAAATTTAGACGTGGTCGAGTCCCAATATTTGCCTTGTACTGCCACTTGCTGTCGAGCCCGCCCGACACGAGGGTGCCGGGCGGGCTCGGCTTGCCAATTTGACCTGACAAACCCAGAGAAGAGCTCGACCGTGCGCGGGTCGTGAGCCGAGCCCGCCCGGCACCGTGATGGCATTTTCAGTCCAGGGCGAAATGGCCGCCCTCCCAGGAGGATCCAAACCCTCGTTTGAATGACCGGCGGGCGTCACCGGCGTGGACGCGTTCAGGTCCGGGGCGAATCCCCGAGAAAAGGAAGGCACGGAAGAATTTGATGGACCAAAAAAAAAAAAAAAAGTCATAAGCATATCCTTGTTGATACGAGTACTGGTACATTTGCCTCCACATTTTCAGCCTTCCCAAGTGTACGCTTGCGCGGAAAAGCCGCCGGCATCATCACACGTGTCGACAGCCGAGATCGTCGCCGCCAAGGTCTTGGAGACACTCTCTGCCGTGGCGCTCCGTCTCAGTCGTGTCCGGCGGAGGAACGGCGACGGCGGAAGAATCCTCTCGCCGCCCTCTCCACGATGACTGCACAAGGTCCCGAACGTCCCGCCAAAGGTGCTCAGCAGATCCCCGGCGGCTCATCCGCTTCTTTGGAGATCTTCAGCACGGTGTCCGGCGGCGGCGACGGCAGCGGCGACGGGCGAGATTTGCGCTGCCGAGGTTCGCCCGACCAGTCCGTCGTCTGCGTGGGAATCATCGTCCTCCCCAGAGCCTGCGCACGGCAAACAAAGCCCGCAAAGCAAGCTCGCGTCCCGCTTTGAAAGGCCGACCTCCCGTCCTTTGCTCGCCGCCTACCTGGTTCTCGGCCAGAGCCTCCTTGGCCATGTAGTGCTCCCTCTTCATCTTGAGCTCCACCTCCACGGGGATGTCGGGAACCATCATGTCGATGAGGCGGCCGATGACGAAAACCACGTGCTGGGGAAGGAGCAAACAGCCCCCAGGCTAGGACCCGCGGCTCCGCGCTCGCTAACGCGTGACAACGCGAGCGCGACGCCGCCGACGCCACCCGTTCAGCCCGCGCGTCACGACAGATGCCGAGGCGATGGACGCGCTGAGCGCGAGACGCGCGGAGAGAAGAGAGACTGACCTCAAAGATGATGACGAAGCTGAGTCGTATGGCCAGCAGGTGAAAATACTCGGGCAAATATTCGCCGTTTTGGTCCCTGAAGCCGCGGTACCTGAAGATGAGAAACCGAGACGGCAAAAGTACGACGAGTATGAGATTTCAACATGGAGGAACGCCGTTCTTCTCCCCGCCCCCGCAGTCGGGCGCTCTCTTCTTTGGAGCTCATTTTTCTCCTCTTGGGAGGGGTTAAGGTCAGGCCACGCGGCGCAATCGGCACTTTGGGCAGTGACACGGAATGAAGTCTAGCGCATGCGCAAGCAAACTTGTTGATCCGATCTGCAAAATAACCGGTCGGCATTCAGTGGTACAAAGCAAATTCCCACGGCCCACAACCGATGACAAAGTTTGGGTCCGCCGACTGCCACCGAGGAACCGTCGGCGCCCGCTTCTGCCTTGGGCAACGGCCGCGCCGGCGTTATTGCTTTTGTTTTCGTCCGTGACTGACCCTCACCTGCAGGTGAACGTGTGCTCCAGACTGTGGTTGCGCGGCGACGTGGCCAGGGTGAAGTTGATGAAGCCGCTGAGGTCCGGGTCGCGGGTGTAGCGGTAGTACAGGCGAGGCAGGAAGGACGACGTGAAGGCGATCAGCAAGGCCTGGAGACCAAAAGTCCGGAGTCAACCGGCGGGCAAACCCGGTGCGCCCGCGTCCGCAAGGATCCTCCGCTCGTACGTTTACGAGGACGGCCGTGTAGGCGATGAACTGCAGGATATCCAACCAGATGCCGATGTCCTGCGCCCGCTCCACCACCGGTCGCCGATATTCGGTGACGAACTTCTGCGCGTCCAAACGGATTTCCACCCAGTTGTTGATCAAAGCGAAGAGAGGAGCCAAAGGGCACGCCGCCACAAAGATGGTGATGAAACCAAACTGAATGACTGAGAAGCGCAAGCGGGAAGGGGGAAGCGACCAGGAGACGCCCGGTGAGTCTCAACGCGGCCATCCAAAACAAAACCCAAAACTGCCTTTGTTGTGTTTCCGTGCCGGTCTCGCTTTGGGCACGGGGTGACTCGACTACCCTGCTGGTACCCGGTGACAGCAGCAGGACAGTAGCGATCACCGGCACAGATGCTGTCCCTGCTGGACTGTTGTGGCTCAGATTGGACAGCTGTTTGAATGTGGGCTGTTTTGTTTTGCTTTTGCTGCCAGCACGAAAACACAACAAAACCACGCTGCTCTGTCCTTGTCCTTATAATTATTGTTCTTATTCTTATGATTATTATTCTTTTTTAATTTTGTGGAAGGGGCGAGGGGAGTCTTAGTCCTCAAGTTTTAAGGTACAAGGAGAGCACCCACTGCATATCAGGCAGGTCCAGTCAAGTCATTAATTGCCCTCCGCGTCAAGTCACACCATCCTCCTCGGTCAGCATACGTCTTCGCGCATTAGCCGTATCTGACACATTTGGAAGGTTCCTAACAGTTCTCCGAATTGTATCTGACTTTGCTCTCTTGCCAGTGGAACGCACGACCGACAGGAAACTCGCTCCTTGCTCGAGCTCAACGGTCAAGTTCATCTCGCTTCCTTTTCTTTGGGGCTTTCCTCGTGAGCCGTCCCAGTTTAGCTTCCGCTTGCAAACCTTGCGTGTTGCCATTCAATTGAAATCATCTTTGTGATACTCGCCTCACGGGGCGGTCTCTGCGCCCCGCTTCCTAGCACGGTGGCGCTCTGACAGCTCGTAGTACAGATGTAAACAGGCAAGACTCGTCAATTGAGCAAGTCGCATCATCGACTTGAGTTCAAAGGCAAGAAAAGAGAAATCACCCGAGGCGCCGCTCCGCCGTCAGCCGCATGAGGCCACGCACCTTTGCGGACGGAAATCTGCGAGCCGTCAAAACCAAATCTCTGCAATTGCCTTCCCTCCGAGATACGTGACGCCCTGACCCTGGACTCGTTCAACGTGACCCCAAAACTCCACCTGTTTGCCCAGGCGGGACCTTGGCCACAGTCAGTTAGCACGGTTTTTGTTTTGGGTTTTGGTCTGACCTGTAAAGAGTCCTTGGCTGTCCGACAGTCTCCAATGGATGATGATCTCATCCGCTTCACGTTAAAGTCAAGCGGAGTCTTTCGAAAGATTGAGCCCAGCGAGTCCCGACTGGCCTGTTCAATCTGAGTGGAGTCAACTCACGTGACCCGCCGCTGCCTTTTCGCGATGCCCCAGCGGGGCCCGCCGGAGCGGAGGGCGTGTCCACTCACCCATCTCCAGGTACTCGCTGAAGAGCCCCTCGCAGAGCAGGAGCTGGTAGTCCACCTCCCAGGGGCAAATGCCCCGCTCCGTTCCTTCCTGCTCCTCCGGCTCCTTGGCCTTCCCGCTTCTCTTCCTCTTCTGCCACCACGCCCTCAACTTCCTGCCGAGCCCGTAACAAAGCGGTGAGGCAGGAAACGGTGCGGCGGCCAAAAGCCCTTCGAAAGAGCCCTCCGTGTTTGGAGGAACTTCTCTTCGTTTGGGTGAGGTGGGTGCCGGGCCCTGTCCCGAGAGGCGGGGTACATCCCGGACCGGTCGAAAGCAACTGGTTTGTCGCCAGTCCACGTTAGATACGGACGGACAAACAACGGCTCGGTATCGTTCGTGGACACGCTCGGCGCGGAGGTGGCATTCGGGTTCAGCGAGACAGCGCGCGAGTGAGCTAAGGCAGGGGTCCCCAACCGCCGGTCCGCGGACCGGTACCGGTCCGCAGGGGATTTGGTACCGGGCCGCACCGAAAGAACTTGCCTTAATTCCGTTTTATTTATTTCGGAAGACGAAAGATGTTTTATTTTGAAAAACTACCGGATTCTCCGTTACATCCGTCTGTGTTACGCGTGACACACGTCAAGCCCCGCTTCTCCTTCACGTGACCGATTACTTCAAAACAAAACGCCAGAGCAAAATGAGTAAAAAAAACTGCTGGAGATCGCAAATGACGGCGGCCTTAAAAGTACGTTCAAGACAACTGGATTAAAATTATGGCTGAATACTCTGAGATGGCCACAATAGCACTGTTGCTATATCCGACATGCTACCTGTGTGAGGAGGGGGTTTTCTGCAGCAACGGCGACGAAAACAAAATTACGAAGTAGACTGGACATAAACCACACACTTGAGGTGTCATTGTTTCCTATTACCCCGAGATGGGCCGTCTGGTTGCAGAAAATCAAGCTCGGTGCTGTGGTGAGTGTCATTTTCATGCACTTTGAATTTGCGTTGTATCGTATTTTGAAGGCATTAAACATTGCCATAGCGATCGGAGTGTTGCGGCCAGATTAGACGTTCCTTGTGTTTATTATTATATTTCGTAAACGCCACAGTTTTCATGCAGCTTATACCATATAGTTTTGTTGTATTATTTCCGTCACACCTTGAAAATCAAGCTCGGGGCTGTGGTGAGTCGTCATTTTCATGCACTTTGAATTTGCGTTGTATCGTATTTTGAAGGCATTAAACATTACCAGAGCGATAAGAGTGTTGCGACCAGATTAGACGCTCCTTGTGTTTATTATAATATTTCGAAAACACCACAGTTTTCATGCAGCTCATACCATATTATTTTGTTGTATTAATTCCGCCACACCTTAAATGCCGGTCCCTGAAAATAATGTCTGACTTAAACCGGTCCGTGGGGCAAAAAAGGTTGGGGACCCCTGAGCTAAGGGAGCCGGACGAGAAGAGTCGGGTTCGAAGTGGATGTTGTACTGCGTTGGCTTGGCGTATGAGCTTACGGGCAGAGGAACTCCTGGATGTTGTTGATGAGCTGCTTTCCCACCATGATGACGAGCAGCTCCTGGGCCAACTCGATGAGGCA